TGAACCAAGAGGTCATGGTTCGATTCCGGGTCAGGGCACATGCCCAGGTTGTAGGCTGGATCCCCAGTGTAGGGCATGCAGGAGGCAGCTGGTCAATGATTCCGTCTTGTCACTGATGTTTATATCTCTCTCTCCCTCTCCTTTCCACTCTGAAATCAATAAAAAAATATATATTTTTAAAGAGGGCAGTGGGGCTCTTCCTCTGCCCTTGAGTCCTTCAGGGCCTGGGGACAGCAAGTGGAGCTCCTCTAGGGCAGGTAAGGCTTAGCGGCTAGGAGTTATGGCCTACTTGAGTTCAAGTCTTGGCTTTGTCACTTACTTAGCTGGGTCATCTTGGACAAGTCACTTAAGCTCCTTGAGTCTCACTTTTCCCATCAATAAAGTGAGAATAACAATATTAGCACCAAGGGGTTGTTATGAAGATTGAGTAAAGTAGTGTATATGAAATATCCATAAAATCAACATTCAGTGAATGGATCCCCTAAATCTGCAATACCCTGTACCTGCATTTCACTCCCTTCAAGGCCAATCTCACCTTGGACCCCTAGGTTAGTGTAGTGACAAAGAGCAAAGGCTTTGGAGTTAAACTACAGTGTCTTCAAATCCTGGCTCCACCACTTACTAGTTACCTGACTTCGAGTAATTACATACCTACACATTTCTGGAAATAAGAATGATCTAGCCTGGCCGGTGTGGCTCAGTGGTTGAACATTGACCTATGAACCAGGAGGTCGTGGTTCCATTCCCGGTCAGGGCACATGCCCGGTTGCAGACTTGATCCCCAGTGTTGGGCGCGCAGGAGGCAGCTGATCAATGATTCTCTCTCATCACTGACATTTCTCTCTTTCAATCTCCCTTTCTCCCTTCCTCTCTGAAATCAATAAAAAAAATATTTAAAAAACAAAGTTAAAGGAGGTTTTTAACGGGAAAATAGGGCACTGATCACTATAGTCTCAGTGAGATCCAACACCCCCCCCCCCCCCGCCAAGTCAGGAAATTCAGGATGAGGTATGAGGTTTCCGAGCTGGGGAAAAGAAGTGGCTCTCCCACCTCCTTCACAATAGAGGCTACCTTAGCTTCTCACACAACTTCAGCCTCATTCTATACTATTCAGCCAACAACACAATCAAGTGGGAAGGAACTGCCTCTCCTCTAGACCCAGCCAAGACTCCTCCTCTAGGAAGGCCCTAAATAAAGGAATTCTATAGCATTTGATATGTAGGCTTCACCTTTTCCTATAACTTCACAGTTACCAATATAGCATTTGTATACCATTGCCTCTGGGACCTGCCAGGGATAGCGTCAGAAAGAGCCCAGGCAGTGGCCCTCACAAAGGGACAGCCAACTTGACTGTGGGAACCGACAAGGCAACTTCCTGACTTCCTGTGCTAAAGAAACCCCACCATCAGTTCAACCTAAGTGCAGGGGTGTGGAGAGAAAGTTAAGAGATTTAAGTTTAACACAAAGCCCAACAACCACCCCCATATCAGCTCGACTATTTATAGTAAGCCCTCTGTATGCCTAAAATGGAGAGACCATTGGTCAAATGATTCCAAAATGGCACCAAAAAACTTCTAAAAATCATTGCTGGTTCTCAACTCACAAGAGAATGGGATCAGCAATGCAATTTCTCCTAAAGTTAACCCTAACACATGGTCAGTTTTCAACAAGTATTTATTGAATGTTAAATGAAAGAAAGGCTCATTTCAGTCAAGTGACACTTGGAGTTATTCAAAACCCTTTATCTGTCTGTACCTGGGTTATGCCGGAAAGCTCTCTGACAGGGATTCCGGGCACCTGGGGTTCTGGTCTTAGCTCTACCAGTAGCTATCTATGTGACCTGTGGTAAATCACAGTACAGTGGGGCCTTGACTTACGAGTGTCCCGACTAACGAGTTTTTCGAGATACGAGCCGTCTCTCGGCCGATTTTTTGCTTTGAGTTGCGAGCTAAAATTCGGGTTACGAGCCAGCTTCAAATACCCCACCGCTAGTTGGCGCAGCGAACGTCACAGTGAACGCCACAACATCAGCCCAGCATCACGTGTCTCACTCATTCACTTTAAGATTTGACATACGAGTAATTTGAGTTACGAGCTCCATCACGGAATGAATTAAACTCGTAAGTCAAGGCCCCACTGTACTTAATTTGATGAGAGAGTGAGTACAAGTGGCACCGGCTACTTGATCAGTATGTTCCTTTCAGGGATATCATCCAACAGATGCTGGGTTTTATGGCAAATAGTCATCATGTCTGAATTTGAGTAAAAAAGTACAATGCTTTTAGTCATGTTGGAAGAGCCACGTAGCTGTAAATGGACAGGGGCAGCAGGCTTGAAGAAAGTGAAGGGGGCCCTGGCCAGTGTTTCTCATTGGTTGGAGTGTCGGCCTATGAACTGAAGGTCGAGGGTTCAATTCCCAGTCAAGGGCACATACCTGGGTTGCAGCTTCAATCCCCAGGCCCTGATCATGTAGCTGTGGTAGGCAACCAATTGATGTTGATGTCTCTCTCTCTCTCTCTCTCTCTCTCTCTCTCTCTCTCTTTCCTTCCCTCCCTCTCTTCCACTCTCTCTAAAATCAACGGAAGAAAATATCCTCAGGTGAGGATTAACAACAACAAAAAGAGCTGGGCTGAGGTGGCTCAGTGGTTGTACATCAACCTATGAACCAGGAGGTCACGGTTTGATTCCTGGTGAGGGCACATGCCCGGGTTGCAGGCTCAATCCCCAGTGTGGGGCGTGCAAGAGGAGCTGATCAATGATTCTCTCTCATCATTGATGTTTCTCTCTCTCTCTCCCTCCCCCTTCCTCTCTGAAAGCAATAAAAAATATATTTTAAAAAGAAATGAAAAGGCATGGAATGTCAGGGAAGTAATTCTACTCCAGGTTCCCGAGTTGTAAAACCACTTCTAAATCATGGCCCCCTCATTTCCTGGCCCATGGTGGAGTGTGAGCTATCAAACTCACAATTTATGAACTGAGTAGCAAATTCCCTAATACCAGAAGAAAAATAAACACAGGATTTAGACAGCTAAGTCACAGAATAAAAATGGCAAGAAAGAAGGCAAAGATAGATGTGGAAAAATGTTTAAACTCATTATTAACAAAAGAAATAGAAATCAAGTGATACTGAGATACCAGTTTACAATGATAAAATTATGGCGTGTTTAAATGAGATGTGTTTAAATGTTTAAATGAGACATGAAGCAAGCTCTCTGAGACACTACTTGGCAGGACAAACTGGGACAGCCTTTGTGTGAAGCAATTTGGCCATATTTGCCAAAAGTCTTTCAAAGAACACTCCCTTTGACTCAGTAATTTCACTCCTCGGAATCTATCCTAAGGAAATAATCACAGATATGTTCACAGATTTTTTTAAAAAGCTCATTGTGGCATTATTTATAATAATGACAAATGGGAAACTCCTAAATGTCTTGACAATAGGGGAAGAGTTACGTACATATTATGGAGTCATGAAGAAATAATTTCTAATGATATGAAAAATGCTAATTTAAAAAAGCAGGATTGCAAAACTATATTCACAGTTGAATTCCAGTTATGTTTAAAAGTATACATGCACAAAAAGGACTAGAAAGAAATACACCAAAACACTGACAATGATTATTATACCTTAGTAATGAGGTTATGGATGATTTTTTAAAATCTTCTTACTTGGTTATACTTTCTCAATTTTCAATAATGGACATGAGTTACTTTTAAAATTAAAAAGCACATTACAGGTATGAAGGGAGGAAGAGGTTTGTTTATTTTCTAAGTTTTCCAAATATTTAGAAGTAGAACAGGACATTTGAGAGTCCAATGGTTCTCAACCCTGTCAGCTCCAAACCTCCCTGGATATATACAATGTTTTGTAATAAACCCTTTGCCACCCTGAAAGAAATTTCATAGTTATTATAACCTGCATATACACATAATTTCCAGAAGAGCAGTATAATACACTAACTATAATATAAAGGAGAAATAAAGGGAAAGTAGTTTATAATAAAATAATATGTATTTCAATATGTAAATGCCTGGGCAATACTATACTTGAAGTCAGATGCTTCCACTTATATATGTAGATTCACTGTGGATTCAACTGCTACAAAGGAAGATGAATACAGGTACATTATAATGGCAACTTAAAAATCCATAATGGCATTGCTATTGGTGACACGATTTTCAAAAGTGACAAATGTTATTAAAGTTTTGAACAAAATAAAGTACTATCTTCCCTGAATTTACACAATGGTTGCATTCCTGGAAATTCACTGTATATATTAAAACCGTAAAAACATGTTTTGTGTTTATTTGTATAATAATTAGGCCCAGTTAATTACACTAGGTTTTCCCACTTCCATTGATGTTCTATATGCCATTCGAAAGTTTACAGATACAGATTTTTAGTTCCCATTCTCCTTTCATATTTATTTGAAACATGAAATTTACAATGACTATCTTTTTTGCAAGTTGGGCTTGCATCTTTTAAAGGTAATGAGAGTCACAATTTTAGCCTTTGATACTATTTCTAAAACCTATCACCTAAGAACAGCAAGCGATGGATAAAATGTATTCTCAAAACTGACACAAATGTTTTTTGAATTATTAGAAACATTGCTCTTCTTTAATAGCACCAAAGCACGAGAACAAATTATCATTTTTTAAAAACTATTTACTGTGATCCCTTGGTGATTCTCCCTAGCCTGGCCCCAGCCTCAGGAGTATAAAATAAACTGAGCTGGAAGAAAAGGACTAACAGGGCCAGGCCACAGAGAGAGGGATGGGGTTGCTAGGTTACCACTTGAGCCAATCCAAGTGGTCCCAGAGGGGTACCAGACACTAGACAGGCTCCTCTCTCTGCCCCACTAGGCTGAAAGCCCTCTCAAAGGAAGAGGGTCAAAAGGTGGGGGAGGGGGCCAGCCACTCATGCTAGGCACAAGTAAAGAAATGAGACAGAAGCACAAAGAAGCACACATCCCTGTATTTCTAAAACCATTCAAGTCTTCTTCATTAATTGGCTTTCCCCGAAAAGAAAGGGTTCTTTATTAAGAAATACCAGAGAGTGAAAAAACCACCACACATACATATTTGTAGGTTCACACACAAATGCAGAGATTTACATATTAAATTGCATTTAAGTTAGAAAATAGATTTAAAAACAAAATACTTTTTCTTTCCCCAAAAAGGTAAAGCAATTTGGTCAGTAGGAAAAGGGCCCTTGGGATAAAGGCAGGTAGGTTAGCACAGGAAGAATGGAATTTAGCTGCTATAGAATTAGAACCCACCACTTGCCCCTGGGGAAACAAGCAAAGGGAGAGCGTATGCCTTCTGCTAGGGCAAGGAGGGCCCCAGAGCCAAATGGACATGAAGAAATGGCCCCAAATAGCCAAACCCCACCAACCCCCAAAGCTTTTGGACCTGGACCAACCATCCTCACCTGGGGAAGTGGGGTGCATAGGAAACTGAAGGAATGCAAAGAAAGGGAAGAGAGGGAAAGAATGCAAGCCATTTAAAAAGACCAATTCTTCAATCTCCCCTCTGATCAGAACTCAAATGAAGGACAGTCCCAGGTGGTGCATGGTACGAATGGAATAGATCTTCAGGCCAAGGTCTTAAATACAGAAGATTTATATAGGTAAAGAAAGAGGGCAGGAAGCATGAACAAGCAGAAAGCTAAAATATATTATTTCATACAAGAGATAGGAGATTTCCATGTTGACCCTTCACCTTAGAAAGAGAAAGCTCCTCTGACTGACATAAGGGTCAGCAGAAGAGTGGTTGAGGTAAGTTAAGGGAGGAGCGAAATCCGTCCTAATCCAGGAGAGAAGATGGGCTGAGACAGGATGGGCTCAGAACTGACTAAAAAGAGATTCATCTGAGTGGCAGGTTAACTGGAAAAATCTAATAGCTTCCAAACTCTCCAGGGTTGGCGTTATTTTGAACTAACTAAAATGTAACTATAAGGACTGAGAGAGCCAGAAAGAGAATGGTAAAGTAGAGGCAGAGAAGAGAAGAACCCGAGTCTCTCTCTCTCTTTCTCTCTCTCCCTCCCTCCCTACCTTCCTCCCTCTCAACTCAAATCCTGGTATAAGGAAAATAGAAAGACATAGAGAAAAATCTGGAAGCAGCCAAATTTCATTCATTCTGATTAACTGGAAAGAGTAAGATAGGAATTGGCAAGGAGTCTTGATTATAGACCACTTAAAATGAAATATATACCATCACTTGTAAAAGATCACTAACGAAGTATTTCCCAGGAGAGGTGCTGATGTGCCTCCTTTAATAACCAAGACTCATTTACAATTAACGGCATTCATCTGCATAAACACAACATCTCAATAAAGAACTTGTTCTCTTAAGTGAATATACCCCCAACCCTCCCCATCTTGCTAACATTGTATAATGCCTTGAAAGCCCTTTCTTTAGAGTCCAGAATAAGGTGAGCTTTGGCCCAGAATGTAGTAGAAATCAATGGAGAGTTTGGGAGCTATCTCTCCCACTGAAGGGTTCCCCAGAAAATGGAAGTATGGGTAGTAACTAGCAACCCCTTCTACCCCCACCCCAATCCCACCCTACCACACAAAGACCCTCACGCCCCCATGATGATTCTTGAAATGGAAAGGGGAAGGAGGAGGCAGGCAGTTTGCATTAGACACAGTTTAATCACTTTCAAATAGATGAAAAGTTCTGATTTACACGTCCCCCTCCCCGTAAGTCATCCAGACAGGACCCTGGCTTAGAAAGAGAAAAACACAGGTGCTTTAGGAAATATAGCCACATATAATACATAAATCTTCTTCCCTGAAATAGAGCAGGTCCTGAGCAGAGCTGACTGGGGTGTGGGGGTGGGGCGGTCACAGCCCGCACCCAGGGTGAAGTGGCTCTGGGACTCTGCCGGTGGAAGTGCTGGAAGAGCGAGGCTGGCGGAAGCCCCTGGTGTGGTTATCAAGCCCGAGATGGGCCAAGGCCTTGGAGTGGGTCACCCGGGAGGGCAGCAGTGCTGGGCTTTCCCTCCTCACTCAGCTGAGGCCTACTGGAAGTACTAGCTGTCTTTTTTTACTTTTTCTTTTTTGAGGGAACGTAAGAGAAGGAGAGGAGGGGAGGGGAGGGGAGGGGAGGAGAGGAGAGGAGAGGAGAGGAGAGGAGAGGAGAGGAGAGGAGAGGAGAGGAGAGGAGAGGAGAGGAGAGGAGAGGAGAGGAGAGGAGATCCTCTCTGTGCCTTGGTTTCCCCATTTGTGCATTCAGGGCCTCTGCAGGCCTCACACAGGGAGTCTGGGGGGTGTAGTGTTTAAGTGAGCACTCGGGCTTATTCTGAGGAGAGGAATCGCCAAAGTGCAGACTTTTATTACTGCCATTCCTGCTCCTAAAAGAGCAAGAGTCAGAAGGAAAACAAATTAATGGGACTAGTGAGAGAGGAGGAGATAAGAGACAGAGAGTGCAAGGGGTGATGCCGTTGGCATCTCATGAATTCTTAATGAGAATGGCACAGGTATTAAAAAGTTTCCGGGTAATCTATAAGACATGTAAATTGTTATCTATACTGCAACTACTTACATATCTCTAATTGATAAAGAGTGGGGCTTGGGGGTTAGAAAGTGGATGGGGGACAAAGGAGAAACTACATGAATAAATACAACAAGTGGAAGTTACCTGCCCCATTCCTGAAAGGATTTGTGGGCAATGTTGGCACTTTGTAGCCAGGAGAATCCTCTAACCCCACTCTCCATCCTCTTCAATTATGAAGCCCCAAGAATCCAGTTAGGATTCCCTAGCCAGAGTTCTCCGTGATCACCTCTGGACTCTTGCCATGCAGCGGCTGGAGATGATCTGAGCCAGTCTCAAGAACCTTTAACCCCACAAATGGACCAACCACACCAAGCAGGAGAGCTAAGATCTGGAGGGAAGAAAGGGGAGTCCAAGGAGACTCCATGGAAAACCAGTGCGGGGGCCCAAGAGACCCGTTTGTCCAGTTACCAGAGGTTACTGACATCTTCTGTGACTGCCTTGAGTCCAGGAAAAAAAAATTTGCAGCAAGAAAATGCCAGTGTGCAATTGGCTGAATAAAGACCAAAGAAAAATAGCTTACTTGTTCTCTGTCTCAGGCTTATCTTCTCCCCTTAAATCTCTCACAGCCCTAATTAAACACAAACAAAAGTCTCTTCCATAGATGGGCTACTTGTCAGCTTCAGCCACCTCCTGTGGTGGCTCTGGAGGTTCCGGGGGTGGCATCTCTTCAGGAGTGCTGTCCTCCGGCATCTCATTTGAACTCAGATGTTCTGTTAGGGCCTAAGAAGGAAAAGATACCAAATTCAATACAACATAATACAAAGCCCATCGTTGCCCGGCCAGTGTAGCTCAGCGGTTGAGCATCGACCTATGAACCAGGAGGTCACGGTTCGATTCCTGGTCATGGCACATGCCTGGGTTGTGGGCTCGATCACCCATGTGGGGCGTGCAGGAGCAGCCAATCAGTGGCTCTCTCTCATCATTGATGTTTCTATCTCTCTCTCCCTCTCTTGTCCTCTCTGAAATGAATAAAAATATATGCTTCCATTATTATTCACAATAATAATAATAGAGACCACAGATCATTACAGAGGCCCCTCTCCTTCACAAGAGAATGTTATAACGTACTTGTATAATAAGACCTGACTCAGTGGGTCTCAATCTTGTTTCTGCCCTAACACTTGGCTCTCCAAAACAGTGATTCTAAACCAAAGAGTGTGGGGTGGCAACATTTTTAGATGATGATATATGTGGTTTGAAAATGTCCCCAGAGCGATTCTAAAATATCACCTTTCCCCACATTCAACTAAGAATTACTAATCTAAATTGTTAGGATTTAAGACCAGACTTATCAGAAACATTATATTCAAAAGGACACATATGTAATACCCTTTGTAATACTTTTAGCAATAAAAAAAAAGTCATTGCCAAGGGTACATCCATAATACTTGCAACAATAAAGATAAATTTAAAAAAAAAGAAACATTATATTCAAAATGATGATGATAATATATAAAAATGGGTTTGCTATAATTCAAAAAAGAAACTTCAACATATAGAAAAAGCAAAGTAGAGAACAATTATCTACTTTACAAAAAGCATTTGCCTCACTGGACAGTGAGCTCCTTGAGATCAGGGACATGGTTTGCCTTGTCCACTAGTGTATCCTGCATCTAGCACAGTAGAATGTCAAAGAAACGAATAGATCCTAATCTATACCACACAGGCACAAAGATCTGAGGCAATGTCAGGGCAAAAGCAGAGACAGGGAAGCTGGGGTTATTGAACACAAAATTGCCTAACTGTATCTCTAAAGTGTAAATTTGGCCTACACTCTCCATCACCAGCTTAGCCTTAATGTCTTGAAGTCGGGAACACTTACTGGGCTCTGTGGCAAGAGGCTACTACTGGTCTCTTGAGTGCTAGGAGGTCGACTTCCGCTTTCCTCCAGTGGTAAAATACCTCTTCGATCCAGCACACTGAAGGAGACAGGACAGTTAATAAAGCACTTCCCATTCCCCCCTCCAGCTACCCATCCTCTGAACCTTGTTGTGTGGACTGGAAAACATAAACCTGCCCTTTGGCAGTCTAGCCTGATCCTAGCACATGCGTGCTATCTTCCACTCACTTTCTCTTCCACAAACCAGGGCATACTACATTAACCAGGGCAAGAAACAAATGAAATAAGAATGAAAGGTCATCTCTTTAAAATAATCATCCTGTGGTCTATGGTCCATGTAGATATGGCACCAAGGGACAATCCCTGGGAAGTCCTATTTGACACCAAAAGGTCACATTCAGAAGGAGGCATCATACCAGGCAACAGGATTGGCTTGAGTTGCTCAACCCACGAGTCCCAGGACCTTCTAGTCCCCTGAGTACCTGGGGGGCAAGGGGCCACACAGCACTTCACAGCAGTTCTTCACAATGTTGCCATGGCTGTAGGGATTCTGGACTCGATTCTTCCCTGTCCATGAGCCTTTGATCTGCAAGATAAAAGCCAAGGCTTACATTAAAATTTATGTTGAAGAAATACATGTAGCATGGGAAGATGAAAATGTTCTGGAGATGGGTGGTGGTAATAGTTGCACAACAAGATGAATGTACTTAATGCCACTGAATTATACACTTAAAATAGTTAAGGTGGTACATTTTATATAATGAATATCTTACCACAATAGAAAAAAAAGAAATACAATGCATAGCCATGGGAAAATATCCACAATAGAGTGAAAAAAAGCAGATAACTAAACAATATGTATATATTTTCATTTAAAAATTCAAAATATATAGTCACATAAACAAACAGGAACAAGTCTAGACAACTCTAGACTATAAATCATACCATTAACAATGGTAATGTATAGAAGGTAAAGTTACAGGGACTTATTTGATATTTTTGTTCATCTGTATTTTCTGCAATGAACATGGGTTAATTGGTAACTTTTAAAAAGCAAGGATTTATTCCGTGCACCTGTCCTTGTCCATCCCTAATCCAGAAGCACCAATTAGTCTTTAAAGACCTATGAATAGCTAAAGACCTTGTACTCCCCCCCCCCCCCCCGCCCCAACCATTCAACCTCTTCTTCTTAATTCTCTACAGGCATTCAGTTCCAAACAAAGCAGTCTGCTTTCTTCTCCACACTTCAGATTTAACAGTCTCCCACGCTAGGTTTCTGCCTGCCTCAACCTCCCAGGCCCTGGAAACTCAGTTCTCTAGCAGGTAACAAGAGAATAGGCTTTGGAGAAAGAAGAATATGTGATGAGCCCTAGCCAGTTTGGCTCAGTGGATAGAGCATCGGCCTGCAGACTGAAGGGTCCCAGGTTCAATTCCAGTCAAGGGCACATGCCCGGGTTGCAGGCTCAATACCTAGTGGAGAGGGGGGGGGCATGCAGGAGGCAGCCAACCAATGATTCTCTCTCATCATTGATGTTTCTATGTCTCTCTCCCTCTCCCTTCTCTGAAATCAATAAATAAATATACATTTAAAAAAAGAATATGTGATGAGAAGATGGGAAGGTTGACTCACGTCTTCATTGGTTGTCTGGTTGAGAGCCACAAGGAAAGTGTGAAATCCAGTTAGTCCCACGACGGACCAGAGTGTGAAGAAACAAATGAGTACTTCTAGAACAGTGAGGTGATGTTAAGGAATGTTGAAGCCACACCAGCAGACTCAATGCTTCACCGTTCTCATGGCACCAGTCTTTACCTCTCAGAACATGTCACAAATGGCCAAGTATCCATACATAACAGATGAATTCTAAACTCGCTGGGTACATCCCTTATGACAGGTCAAGGACTCCTGTCTGTTCACTATGAGTAACTCTCTAATATCTCTAGCACATTTAGGTGTTCCTCTGTTTTTAGATCATTAGCTTTTTGAAGGGGATGTTTAGGAGGGGGCCAAAACTAAACAATGCTGGCCATCACTGCTAATGGAAAATCCATCCAAAAATAAAACTTTATAAATGAAAAATTGGTGGGAAAAACAGGATGTGATTTATAGAAATCCCATCTGAATTTCCTTTTCAGAAATGCAACTGCTCTACAAAGTAAACATTAGCTATAACAGGAAGGTGGACTTCCAGCAAGTGACATAAGAGATATATTGAGGCATAGATAGCCCACTCAGAGGCAGAGGTGAGTGTGTGATCAGAAGGAACTGAAAGGGAGGCAGTAGAGAAGGGGGTAAAACAAACGCCACCCTTTAAGTCTTGGTCATCTTCCATTCTGATTGCTACCACTAAGCCTACATTGTTTTCCAGAATTTGGCACTCTCTGATGTCTGAAAAATGAGATGATGGGAGAACTGCAGAGAGAAAGCATGCTGGAAAGTAATGTAAAAAGGATTCACAGGGACATACTGCCAGGGGAGGATATGTTCCAGGAGTTTCTTTCAACGTCTCCAGGAAGCCAATTTTCAAGGATTCTATGAAATTGGGAGTAGTAGTAGAGAAAAAAAAATTAGTGACTTTAATTTTTAAAAAATGCACACTTATCCTAATACTGTACTTACTCACTTCCTCCTCCCTACCCCTTGTTACAAGCTGGCAAGAAATAAGCCCTCGCCCAGACAAGGGACTCACACCCCCAAGGAGGTAGTCTCCTGACCAAAGGGTTCACATCTACAATGCAGGACCTGGAAATGGTCTAGAGCAGGGATCCTCAAACTTTTTAAACAGGGCGCCAGTTCACTGTCCCTCAGACCGTTGGAGGGCCGGACTACAGTTTAAAAAAAACTATGAACAAATTCCTATGCACACTGCACATATCTTATTTTGAAGTAAAAAAACAAAACGGGGACAAATACAATATTTGTATTTGCATGTGGCCCATGGGCCGTAGTTTGAGGACCCCTGGTCTAGAGAGTCGAGCAGAAGCCAAGCATCTGGCTCCCCTCCCTTTTCCTTAGCCCTCACTACAGGCATGGAGGGGGATATTCATTCATAGATAAAATAAATAAGAAACACCCCTAAAAATCCTTTCTCCTCACCAATCCGTGTCCTCCTTTGTTCAAAATCCAGCTGAGAACTCATCCCTTCCCAGGAAGTTGTTTTGATTAAGACCACTCCTTTAATTCCACATCCCCTCTGCCCTTATTTGTTATCTGCTGATTTATGTGTATTTTCTATCTCCCAAAGTAAACCAGAAGCTACTAAAAGATATTTCTCAGATATAACCCCTTCTACCACGTGGCACAGGGCAGATATTATAAAGCAGAAGAAGAGAGGATGAAGACAGCCAAAATACATACCCAACCTTTGGGATCACCTCAGAAATGCCCAGTACTCTGGGTACAAACCAGTTATTATGGCCATGGTCCCCAGCAGAGGCCAGTGAGAAGGCCAACTCACTCAGTAAATACTGATTGATGTGAGCTGAGGTTTGGAGCCCTACTCAAGAGCAGACAGTAGTGATTATTTCTAGCTGGTCCTAAAGTGCCTTCACAATGGTAAAGTCCCACCAGGAAACTCAACCACTCCCCTAAGCTGTCCTCAAGTCTTCTCCCATCCCACCCCCACTTCAACAACAGGCACTGCCCTGCATACTCACTGAGGGCCACATAGACGATATTGAAGGCGAAGACATAGATGGTGAGGAGGGAGAGAGAAAGGATGAAGAGGTAGAAGTAGCGGTAGTTCCTCTTTCCAACACAATTCCCCACCCAGGGGCAGTGATGGTCGAAGCGCTCTGTGGGAAAAAGAGAATCTAGTGTCAAAGCCTCCAAAACACAGTGCAACCCCACCATTCAAAGACCCCCAGATCATTGCCTATTTCAATTGTAAAAAACTGGTTTCTATTTTTCACAATTTTTTAAATATATTTTATTGATTTTTTACAGAGAGGAAGGGAGAGGGATAGAGAGTTAGAAACATCGATGAGAGAGAAACATTGATTCAGCTGCCTCCTGCAAACTCCCCACTGGGGATGTGCCCGCAACCAAGGTACATGCCCTTGACCAGAATCGAACCTGGGACCCTTCAGTCCGCAGGCCGACGCTCTATCCACTGAGCCAAACTGGTTAGGGCTCACAATGTTTTCATAGCCATCTCATTTGATCCCCACAATCACCCTAGAACAGGGGTGGGCAACCTTTTTGTGAGTGCGTGCCAAAACCAGCAAAATCCCTGACTCAAAATTCTTCTGCGTGCCAACCCTAATTTTTTGAGAACATGTTACGCTTACTTGATATCTCTTAAGGTGTACGTATGTGAAGAACCTTGAAGAAATAATAAAATTCATTCGAGCGACAAAAACACAGTATATGATGATGAAAAATACATTTATTTTTTAATGTATACATGTACACAGATAGTCCGACAGAAAACTTTATGACTCCGTTTGATATTATCAGTGGGACTTCTGCTGCCAAGAAAACATAGAAATTTATTCCCCTTTCGTTAGTACTGGTGGGCAAAGTGAGAGAGAAGGTTTCATTTTTATAGAGTGAAATTTTGAATAAGTAGGTGAGGCGGTTGTCTTGTCAACGAAAACCCGTTGCATCTGAGGCTGAAACCAAAACACTGGTCGGATCTAGGAAGGCAGGGACAGTTAAGGCAGAGGCAATAGAAATTGCTCTTCCCCGCTCTCGTCAATCCGTGTCTATGGTCTTTAAGAAAACTTGTTATGTAAAATTATTTATTTATCTAAGATGCACCTACACTGAATTTATCTGAAAAATAAAAAAGTTGATATTAAGAAAAAAATTGTAAATGGAAGATTATAAGAGAGGGTTTCGTGTGCCAGCAAAAGTTACTGGCGTGCCATGTTTGGCACGAGTGCCAGGGGTTGCCCACCCCTGCCCTAAAAGTTGAGCAAAAGAAGATATTCTTTTCCCCATTTTACTGTAGAGGAAACTAAGGAACTGAGGGGTTAAGTCTCACTGCCAGTTAACAGCAGAGACTTTGCTTTTCCAAAGAAAAATCTTAGTAGGTGGGCCTACTAAGTTAGGAAGAATAAATAGGTGAAAATAGCCAAGCAATTTTTGAAAAATGAGTAGTGTGGTTTTTCTTAACCTCCAGTTAGTAAAAGACTATAAAATTACAATACTTAAAATGGTGTGGCATAGCCAGAAACAGACTCTAGAATATGTAAGAATTTACTGTCTAATAAAAGCAGCATTACAAAATCAGTGGTGAAAGGAAGTACTTTTCCATAAACAACACTGAGACAATTGGCTATTTGGTGGAAAACAAGGTTAAAATTTTCCCCTTCAGATTATTTATCAAAATGAATTCCAGATGAATTAAAGAGTTAAATGTAAAAACAAAGTGACCTCAGCAACGTCCCATGCACCAAGAAGTCATCAGTTAGATTGCCAGTCAGGGCACATGCCTGGGTTGTGGGCTCAATCCTCAGTGTGGGGCTTGCAGGAGACAGCCAATCAATGATTCTCTCTCATATCATGTTTCTCTCCTCTTTCCCCCTTTCCCTTCCTCTCTCTCTAAAATCAATAAAAAACATATTTTTTAAAAATTACTTTTAAAAAAGAAGATGACCACCTGTAAGACAGAGAGGGAAACCTCACCAGAAATCAACCCTGCCAATACCTTGATCTTGGACTTCTAAATGTCACAATTAATTTCTGTTATTTAAGTCACCCAGTCTGTGTATTTTGTTATGGCAGCCCAAGCAGACTAATGCAAGTATATACCCAAGAGTGGAATTGCTGGAACATATCTTAACTTTTTGAGGAACTGGCAAACTTTTCCACAGTGGCTGAACCATTTTACATTCCCATCAGAAATGTATGAAGGTTCTAACTGTACCATATCTGTATATTAAATAATTTTGATTACAATGTTATAATAATGAATAAAATGGAATCATGAATAATATATAATGATAGGAAACTGCCTTAAAAAACTACACTATAGCCATGTGATGGATTATATACAGTCATTAAACTAAAATATTCAAAAGACATGTACTAAAGATGTAAAAAAAATGCTTAAGATATAATGTTAAATGACAAAGGTAGGAATAAAAACTCAATCATGTGGGATCTAATTTCACAAACAAGAGTGAGGTTGGAAGGAAAGACAGCAAAATGGAGAGTGAGTTTGGGATTAGATTTTATTTACACTTTCTGTACTCCCTGTATTTTCTACAATGAACGTGTATTATTTAATGAACCAAAAAGGCACAAAGAATAATGCATATCATTTTTAAAGGACAATGAACTGTATACTGACAAAAATAATAAGACTGTAAGAATGATACCTCTCCCAGTTAAAGGGCTACAATATATCTTTTCAGAAAAGAGAAGGAAAATGTAGAAAAGAATGACATGTTCAAGTCTTACTCTAAACCAGCGGTTCTCAACCTGTGGGTTGCGACCCCTTTGGCAGTCGAACGACCCTTTCAAAGGGGTCACCTAAGACCATCCTGCATATCAGATATTTACATTACGATTCATAACAGTAGCAACATTACAGTTATGAAGTAGCAATGAAAATAATTTTATGGTTGGGTCACAACATGAGGAACTGTATTTAAAGGGCCAGAAGGTTGAGAACCACTGCAGTCTAAACAAACCTGTCATATAAAAACACTGGAAATGTAGGTTTATACAGATATATTTTTACTGTACTTTAAATCACTTGTTTTCTTATAATATAAGCAATACAAGGAAACAAAATCACTCATAATCCCACAACCTATAGATAACAAACTAAGAGCATTCTGGAGTATTTCCTTTCATATCTCTTTACACATATTCATATTTTTTAAATGTCTAACTGAGATCACACTATACATATAGCCTGTCTTCTGTTTTATTTCATTTCACTTTCTGGCATAAGGTTTTCCCATAAAAGTCCCCTACATGAATGTTCCACAATTTATTCAACCATTTATCTACTGGTTATTTACTGGTTGAAAATTCAAATTTTCATTATTATAATAATCCTGAGGTACATATTTCCACACCTAAATCTTTTACCACATTCTTGATTATTTTCTTAGGAATTTCTAGAAAGGTAATCATTGACATCAAAGGGTATAAATGTTTTAAGGTTTTTATCAATCTTATTAAGTTGCTTTCCCAAAAGTTTGTTCCAATTTACACTCCTATGAATGCAGGACTAAGCATTATCAGGTTTTCCTTGCTTATTATCTAGATTTTAAAAGGTCCTGCTTTAATTTTTATTTCTTTGATATTTAGTAGGAATAATTTTTTTTTCATGTTAACTAATTGTATTTTTTGTTTTGTAAACTGTCCGTATTTCTACTGAAATGTTAGTGGTTCTTTTTTAAAAATCAATCTGTGCCCTGGACTGTTTGTTCAGTGGTTAGAGCATCAGCACACATTCCGAATGGTCTTGGGTTTGATCCCTGGTCAAGGGCACATACCTCAGTTGCAGGTTTGATCCCCAGTCCCGGTCAGCATGTGCAGGAGGCAATCAATCGATGTGTCACTCTCACGTCAATGTTTCTCTCTCTCTCCCTTTCACTCTCTCTAAAAATATCAATGGAAAAAATACCCTCAGATGAGGATTTTAAAAAATCAATTTGTATGAGTTCTTTATATTTAAGAATATTAACAAGGAGAGGGAATTCTTTATGAAAACCTTCACATCAGACATTCGTGAAGCATTAAGTTTCCTGGCCCATTTAAAATGGGTTTCAATGTGCTTGGCCAGTGTGGCTCAGTGGTTGAGCCTCAACCTATGAATCAGGAAGTCATGGTTTGATTCCTGGTCAAGGTACAGGACCAAATTGTGGCTCGGTCTCCAGTGTGGGGTGTGCCGACTGATGATTCTCATAATTGATGTTTCTATCTCTCCCTCTCCCTTCCTCTCTGAAATCAATAAAAATATATTTTAAAAAAATAAAAATAAATAAATAAATAAAATGGGTTTAAATTTCTAAAAATCCTACCTACATGTAAATTTTTACCCTATAAAGTAAGATATATTTTCAAGCTTTATCTAAAGAACTGGCTAATAAGAAGAAAACAATGTACCCAGGCCTATTCTATGGCATATACAAAGAACGTGGGAAGTAAGCCTAGTAATAATATAAGGAATTGATCATATATGCCTATTGATAGACACATTTACTGACTGTTTCTGATCTTTCCCAGGGCTCAGTACACAGTAGGCAGTGATTACAACTAAGCCACATACATGTGGCTAAAAGCACAGATACATTATGCACACACATACACCCAAAACCCTTGTAACAGCGGCAGAGAAAGAAAAAATGAGAGTTTGGGAATCATACCTGTTCCAGCTTCATCTCTTACTAATTATATGAACCCACATAAAGGTGCTTCACCTATTTCCTCATCTGTAAAATGGGGATAATACCTATCTCCTGGGATTCTTACAAGCCTTAAATGAGAGAAAGGGAAAACACTTCACATAGTGCCTAGTATATAGGAGGAACTCAATAAATGCTAACAACTTTCTTCTTGGGAATACTACTTCTTACAAAGTCCTTCCTTCCCCAATGCTGCCCTCCAGTAGACTCTTCTCGACCCCTATGCAAGGTGGGTTCCACTTGAAACAGATCCAGTAAAGAAAATACAGATTTGAAAAACAGGTCATTTGCCTTAGCCAGTTTGGCTCAGTGGATAGAGTGTCGGCCCACAGACTGAAGGGTCCCGGGTTGGATTACGGTCAAAGGCGTGTACCTCGGTTGCAGGCTCAATCCTCAGCACGTTCAGGGCATGTGCGGAAGCCAACCAATTGATGTGTCTTTCTCACATCAATGTTTCTCTCTCCCTGTCTCTCCCCATCCCTTCCACTCTGTCTAAAAATCAATGGAAAAAATATCCTTGGGTGAGGATTAATAAAACAAAAACCCAACAGGTCATTTATTTCCCCATTTACCAAAAAGGTTGTCTGTTTGTTTTTTTAGACTGGCAGATATTTAAATTCCAATTTGATCTACAGAAGTACAGTTGATTTACAGTTGTTCAGATGCTTGTTTCCTGTCTAATTCTAGCTTTCCTAACTACCTCTACTAATATTTTCAAGAAAAAATTACCCTGACCCTCTTCTTCAACTCAGCCTTTCCCCCCAGACAATGCCCTAATGATTTTACTCACCCACACAGTTGTCACAGATGCTGCAATGGGAGGCCCGGGGAGGCCGGAAGATCTTGCACGTATAACAGTATTTCAGCTTTACAATCTGGTTGTTAATCTGGAAATTCTTGATACGAGGGGGTGGTCGTTGGCCCTGGGGCACCGCACCATTGGTAGCTTCTGTAGATCAGTAAAGACTGTTAACATCACTGCCAGCCATTGTTTGAACCCAAAGGTCTCACCAGTTGTCCAAAAGCAATTGGAGTATTCAAAGGTTCCTTAGGCCCACTGTCTTCTTCATACTAACATTTCCAGAGTAGACTCTCAACATCAGATTCCACTGAGTGCCATACAATTCTTTTGTGTGCATGTGAAAAATTGTGTCTTCAAGTTTTTGGCTGATTACAAAGAAAAATATTCATAAAAGAAGAAATAAAATGGCTAAAAACAGAAAATGAAATGGCTAAAAACAGAAAATGAAAACGTCCAACTTCGCTCAAAGATACCACTTCCACCTACTATATTAACAAATATTTAAAAGAATAAAAATACCTAGTGAGCCCTAGCTGGTTTGGCTCAATGAATAGAGCATCGGCCTGCGGACTGGGTACCAGGTTCAATTCCAGTTAAGGGCACATGCCTGGGTTGCAGCCTTGATCCCCAGTGTGGGGTGTGCAGGAGGCAGCCAATCAATGATTCTCATCATTGATGTTTCTATCTCCCTCCCCCTCTCCCTTCCTCTCTGAAATCAATAAAAATATATATTTTTAAAATGCCTAGTGATTCCCTGGCCGATGCTTCTAAGTTGTGAGAGTGTCCACCTTCACAATGAAGTGTCATGGGTTTGATTCCTAGTCAAGGGCATGTACCTGAATTGCAGGTTCGATTCCCAGACCCCTCAGAGCACGTGCAGGAGGCAACCAATTGATGTGTTTCTCTCACATCAATGTTTGTCGCTCTCTCTTTCTCTCCCCGATCTCTCTCCCTAAAAATCAATGGAAAAATATCCTTGGGTGAGGATTAAAAAATACCTAGTGCTGGCAAGGACGGGGAAAGGGTATTTTTATACATCACCAGTAAATAATGTAGCAGTGGCTATCAAAATTTTAAATGTGTTTACTTTTTGACCCAGGAATTCTACTTCTAGGAACTTATCAAAATTACAAAGAGTTGTATAAAAGATATTGACGTAAGGATATTTGTCATAGAGTCCCTTTTATAGTGAAAATCTGAAATAACTTCAATGTCATAATAGGAGGTTGGTTAAGTAAATTATGATACATGCATAGGATGGAATATTATGCAGCCTTTTAAAATGGTGTAGACAAGCGAATGATGACAGGAAAAGATTCACAATATCTTGCAAAAATAAAATATATGCAGGAAAAAAAGGCTAATACTTAGAAAAACAATTATTTTAAAATAAGAGTAATACATGTTTATTGTAAAAATTTTGGAAAAATAGAAATATAAAAAAATAAAGATATTTTTTCAGCTCAAGGATATTCATGCATTTCAGTGTATTTCCCTTTATCTTCCCTTAACAGATAAACATTTATGATTTTTTAAAATTTGAGATCATGTTATAAATGCAATGTTAGACCCTGTGTTTTTCACTTAAGATTATACAATAAACATTATTATTTTTTTCTGAAAACATTATTATTGGCAATACAATATTCCATCATATGCATGTACTATTATTTATTTACTCATTCCCTATTGTTGGGCATTTAAGTTGCCTCTGGTTTTTTACTATTTAAATTCTGCTGCATGCAAACAGATGTGTATTTCAGAGGGAAGGGGAGAGGGGGGTGGGAAGAGATTAACCAAAGAACTTATATGCATATGTGCATCACCCGTGGACACAGACAATAGTGCGATGAAGGCCTGGGAAGGGGACGGGAGTGGGGCAGGGGGGGAGAAGGGGCAAGATAGGGTCAATGGGGGGGGGAGGAGGACATCTGTAATACTTTCAACAATAAAGATAAATTTTAAAAAATTATGCTACATTCAAAGTTATAATATTACAAATAAAGCTAAATCCCCTTGAACACCACACTCTGATCCCAACCCCCTCCTTCCTTCCTCAAGAATACATTCATGCCCTAGCCAATTTGGCTCAGTGGATAGAGCATCGGCCTGTGGACCAAAGGGTCTGGGTTTGATTCCGGCTAAGGGCATGTACCTAGGTTGCAGGCTCCTCCCCGGCCCGGGCACTGGTCAGGGCTTGTGCAGGAGGCAACCAATCGATGTGTTTCTCTCACATCGGTGTTTCTCTCTGTCTTTCCCTCTCTCTGAAAATCAATGGGGGGGAAAAAAGAATACATTCATGTGTTAAAATTAATTTCTAAAACATAAAGAAAAAAGAAAAGCATGTTGAAGTCTGAGCAGTAATATATGAAGTTGCCAGCATTAAAATAGCTAGTGCCATATTAAGATGAAAAAGAAAAAAGAAAAAGAAAAATGATGCACTAAAAATCCTTCTACAGTAATTTGTGTAAATCTGTCTATTTCCTTTAGCTAAACCCTGACAGAAGTGGAATTACTGGGTCAAAGGGTATGAACCCTTAAAGCCCATATTACTATTGCCAAACTGCTTCCCAAATTGATAGATTTGCATGCCGCCCATCTGCAGCATATGAGAGTGCCTGTCTTATTGCACTCTCCCTATGCAGGGTAATTCTAAAAACATAATATTTTTAATTCATTTTGATTTTAAAAATATCTGCCATATGGAACATTTTTCCCTTTTTTGCAGAGTGGGGTGGATGCTGTGAAATCAAACAATAACAGTGTTTCACAAGTCTTACAAGGATGGGGATGGCTGTTCATTAGAGGATATGAGTACCAGCATGGCACCTGCCACCTTAATATTCCTTTGTATGTGCTTTACATGAAGGCACCTGGAAGACAGAGTTCATGGTTCATCCTCCCTATGAAGTGCTATGATGCAAGGGAATCACCCGCCTTCTTCTCTCGGTTCTCCTCACCCATAGCATACCCAGTACAGTAAGTCCTCACTTAGCGTCTTCGATAGGTTCTGTGACTTTAAGTGAAATGACATATAATGAAACCAATTTTACCATAGGCTAATTAATATAAACAAGAGTTAAGTTCCTACGGTATCTCATCCATGTTATAATGAAACTATGTTGAATAAAACAATGTTATTCAAGGACCTGCTGTACAGGGCTGAACACTGAATGTAAGTTGACAAAAACTTGTTAGCATAAAAATAAACATATGCATGGGTATGAACTCAAGAATGCACTCTTCTATCGAGAGAAGCATGTTAAATGCAGAGGTCACAAATATGATGTCTCGTGCTTGGCCGCCAAACCCAGTGATCTGGCAAAACAGAGCTAACCTTGCTAATGAACCTGTTGTGACATGCACAAAGACAAGTCAATTAATAATTTTTTTAGCCCGGCCAGCATGGCTCAGGGGTGGAGGGTCAACCTATGAACCAGGAGATCATAGTCTGATTCCCAGTTGGGGCACATGCCCAGGTTGCGGGCTCAATTCCCAGTGTGGGGCATGCAGGAGGCAGCTGATCAATGATTCTCTCTCATCATTGATGTTTCTATCTCTCTTTTCCTCTCCCTTCCTCTCTGAAATTAATAATATATATATATATATATATATATATGTGTGTGTATAAAATTATTAATGGACATAAAATTCAATCTGAAAATATAAAAGACACTATTTTTTGGATAAGCAGATAATATAAAAATGTAAATTCTCACCCTAGCCAGTTTGGCTCAGTGGAAAGAGCCTGCGGACTGAAGGGTTCCAGGTTTGATTCCAGTCAAGGGCACATGCCCAGGTTGTGGGCTCGATCCCCAGTAGGGGGCGTGCAGGAAGCAGCCGATCAATGATTCTCTCATCACTGATATTTCCATCTCTCTCTCCCTCTCCCTCTCCCTCTCTAAAATCAATACAAATATATTTTTAATATAAATTCTCTCAAAAATAATACATAACTGTAGCCCTAACTGGTTTGGCTCAGTGGATGGAGCATCGGCCTATGGACTGAAGGGTCCCAGGTTCAGTTCAGTCAAGGGCACATCCCCAAGTTGCGACCTCAATCCCTGATAGCAGGCGTGCAGGAGGAACCGATCAATGATTCTCTCTCATCACTGATATTTCTATCTCTCACTCTCTCCCTTCCTCTCTGAAATCAATAAAAATAAATAAATAAATAAATGAATAAATAAATAAATAAACAAACAAACAATTAAATGTAATACCTATTAGAACCCCGATAGGTTTGTGTTTTGAATTAAATAAAATAATGTTAAAATTAAAAAAAAAAAACAAGCAAACACACACCCTAAAAGAACTAAAGGCTAATCACAGACTGGTGCTCAACTGATATAGCTTTTAGTCTTATAAGTCGTGGGTCCCTTTCTTCTACTCTATTTGGCTTGTATGCTGACTCAAGCTACTTGGGTACTGGAATTGAGAACAATTTAGGCAGGCACTGCTGTTGGGTCTGGTGGGCTCCCAGTCCCTGCTAGTACTGGCATCGTGGCCTTCTTTCCCAGTGTGAGTTCCCAGAATATCTATCCTCTCTAGCCCTGGGATGTCCTGCTTCAATTCCTGAAGCCACCCTGGCTCCTAGGTAGTGTAATACTCTATCTCTATCCCAGAGAGTCCTACCCTTAGCTGCAGACTGCTCTGTAATGAAACTGTAACTGCTTCCTTATCATTTCTAGAATTCTCAATGGTTCCTGGCACCATAGTTGACCCCTTTCACCTTGTGTGTTCTCCTAAAGCAGGAATTCTTGGTCATGGACCCATGAATGTGCTTCAAAAGTTCTATGAATCCTTGAAATTACATCCAAAATTGTATGTATGTGCATGTATGTAAGGATATTTTTACTAAGAGAAGGTTTATAGCTTTCATGAAAAAATCAAATGAGTTGATGATGCCCAAAGAGTAAAAAAATAAATAAATAACCATCCTCTTAGGAACAGTGCAGCAGACCTTGGTAACAAATCCCTCCCGAAAAGCAACCCAACACAAGAAAAAAAAAAGGAAGCATGACTTTCAAACCTTGCTTCAGCAGCCTTAGCAAATGCACAGGGTGGGCATGATCTCAGATTCAGGATCTCAGAGGGAAAAGCCTAGAAATGATTGTTAATCTGCAACCACTATTCTGATGCCATTCCCTTACTAATTAAAGCACAGCATCTTGCCAGCTGGTTAGAAAACCCACCTATCTCCATTTCTATGAAAGCTGCTTCATCTGGTAGGGCTCGAGGGATCACTCCAGGGTCACTGAAGCTGGTCCTCAACAGTGTAGCCATGGAGAAAAGGAAGAGCATGGCAGCAAACACAGGGATGGCAGGAGATAGCTGGACAGCCAAGTAACGGCATCTGGAGAAAGCACGCAATTGAACATTTAGTTATACCTAATCCTATATGGGCCAGAAATTGTTACCAGTATGTCAACAAAACAAGCAATACCTTGAGGGCAGGGACCATGCTTTTTACTTCACTTGAAACACCCAACACTCCTAACAGTGGTTCCGTACATAACGGGAGCTCAACAAATACTTAACTGATTGATGCCATCTATAACATACAGAAGACAGTCTCAAGGGACCTCTCCTATCCCCAAGCCCAGGCCCTCCTTGTCAGCCTGCTGGGAGTCACATTTCCTCTGTGCCTTAGGAAAGGCTCACAACTGTTAAGATCAGGGAAGCCACCGAGCCTGGACCTGCAAGCATCACAGGTTGCTCTCACTCTGGGAATGTCTTGAGCTTTTCCTATGCACCCATATGGCATTAGGCCTGAGCTCCAGGAGGAGGAAGGAAAGATCAGGACTAGTCATGAAGAAAGGTCCAAGTGTCAGACACAGAGCATGCTCAGCATGCTTCAAGGCCAATAAAAAGCTTCAGCGTGGCTCGGTGGTTGAGCATCAACTTATGAACCAGGAGGTCATGGTTCAATTCCTGGTCAGGGCACGTGCCCAGGTTGTGAGCTCGATCTCCGGTGTGAGGCATGCAGGAGGCAGCCAATCAATGATTCTCTCCTATCATTGATGTTTCCATTTCTCTCTCCCTTTCCCTTCCTTTCTGAAATCAATGAAAATATTTTTTTAAAGCTTCAGGGCTGCTGACTGACTTTGCAACATCCATTCCTCTTCTCTCCTCAATTAGCTCAGCTAGTAGGTAACTAGTGACCATAAGGAAATAAGAAAATTGTTTCTCCTGAGCACCCCTTCCCAACATCATGTTTGCTCCCCTCTTTCTTCATAATTCACCTAGAAGGCCATACCTCTTCCTCTCTGGATATCTCAACCCTACTCATCTGTCAGGTCCCAGAAACATCAATGCCATCATTGTCATCATCACAGTCATAATTTACTGAGCACTCACCATATGCCAGGCACGGCACTAAGCTCTTCATATGCATGATCTCATCCAATTCTCACACTAAATCTATGAGGTAGAGTCCATTATACCCATTTGATAAATGAAGAATCTGGGATGTAGAAAGGTCTTGTCTCCTCCAAAAGGCTTAACCTAAGCTGCACTAATCTGTCCACGTCATCCTCACTGCCAGAGCCTTGTATTGTTTTCTGTTTTTTACTATGTTGACCTCATCTCCCCCAGCTGGACTTCATAGGAGCAAGAATCTTCTCTTTTTGGAACAGGAATGCTTGGGTTTGAATTCTGGCTCTACCAGATCCTAGCTGGGTGTCTTAGTTACTTTCAGTCTCTTTATCTGTGAAATGAAGATAATAATAGAACTTCATGGGGTCATTGTGTGGATCAGATGCATGAATATAAATAAAGTGCTTAGAACTGCACTTGACACACAGTAAATGCTAAGTAAATGCCAGCTATTAACATTATCATCACAGTTCTATATCTCCCAGAGCCTAATGCAAGTATGTGAATAAAGAAGCTATCAACAAATACTTATTGAGTCAAAGTAAATTTCCAACCAAATAAATGGGAATGTGTGATGAGTTACCACTGACCTATTTTTATTCTCCTCCTCCTGGCACATTTTCTCCTTCAACACAGAGATCTTCTCTTGGAGGCAGACTATAACTGAATAAGCAAGGGCCAGAGGGAGAGTGGAGAAAGTAAGCTAAGGAAAAAGGCTTACTTCATTGGCATGGGGATCAAGTAAGCTGCTGTCCACTCTAAATGTTTAACCCCGGGTTGTACATTCACCGCAGTTTTGGAACAGTCCCCAGGAGGTCCTCCCTGCTTTCTTGCCACACACATGACTCCATGGGTGTGCAAGCCAACTATACTATAGGCTGAGCTGTTTGTCATGAAGCTGAACACATATAGTGAACTTGCAAAATGATTTTTGTGGCTTTTTGTTTGCTTGCCTGCTTATTTGTTTTTTTAAGAAAATCCTTGGACATAGTTTGCTTTTGTATGGTTGACTTCCTTCTCCTAAAGGCCAAGGGTAGGGGAAAATGTTTAGAGAAATGAAGGATATGGCTAACTGAGTTCAGGGTAATTAAGGAGCTTGTGGAGTACCCTCTTTTTCATTGTTCCCCTTCACTGTCACAGATAATCAAGAAGTAAATTCAGAAATGAAAGTCCCCTCTACTTATCAGGGACCCAAAGGCCGCAGTAAAAACACAAGACTCCAGTTCATGAACAAGCCAAGTGAAATCACCACGCTAACAGAAATCAGCCATCTTCCTAAGATCATTATTGAAAACAAAGAAGTAATGTCTCCAGGACTCACACTGCCTTGGTGTACAGTCTCCAATCAAAAGCCTTAGAAAAATCAGAGCCATCTCATTGGACACCAAAGGAATTGTAAATTGCTTTATTATAAGGAAAAAATATGGAGAGTAGAACAAACACACATATACAGATACACACACACATGCACACACACACAAATTAATGTTGCATCCATGCACAGAAGGACTCGCCCAAGCTGAACTAAGTCCCCTTCCAACACCTGCTTGTCAATCAGACAAAGAACAACAGATTTGAATTACGCTACACCATCACGGATAAAGGTCTCTGTAATCTCCACACAGCCTATCTTCTGCACCTGCTAAAACAATCCACTCTGTATGTCAACAAGTACACAACAGGCCCATTGTATTGTTCTCCAGAGATGAGGCTACTGGCAGCCCGTTGTCACTAGTGAGTGGGTGTGGCTGGGAAGGCAGATGTGGGACCAGCAGGCCTTTCTACTCTGAGTAAGAGGAAACTTAGAGAGCCAGCAGTTAAGAATCTTGTGAACTACAACCCATCGTGCCTGCCTTTAATAGTTATGATACAAAATATCCCCCCGTTAGTCCCATCATTGCAGTAAGCTGGAGGTCTGTCTCTGACAGGAATAAGCTATGGGAAGATTTGGGAGTAATTCCCAATATCAACCTCAAAAGTCAAGAGTATCCTCATATATCACTAATTTATCTTAATGAAAGACTGGATCTGTCATTCACATAAGCTAACTGTTTTTAAAACTCCCTAGTAGTTTCCATTGATATTGTATCTTGGAATAATGATATCCATACACTCCTGCAAACAGAACTCCCCTTTGTCTTCAAAATACCAAGAGGCCTTCCCCTTCCCAGGGGGTTGAAAGTTGCTTTTCTCCCTTGTAAATTTCATATATACAACCCTGTCCCCACTAAGTCTTCATTTCTGCCACCTGAAGAGGCATCGTCATGATAGGTCCCCCTCTACCAAATTCTTAACTGGCCTCAGGCTTCCATAGCTGGTTTAGATGACTGGACTCCGACATGTCCCACAGACCACATGGTGGTACTGACCAGCAATAGCCAGCAGTGCCAGGCTGGGCTGGTGTGTCATGTACCATCCCCCATTCCTAGCATGCTAGTTCATTGGAGGGACAATGATAATGACACAGACTTCAATTCACTTGAGAAAACTCAAAAAAGGTTCATGAGTGGAGCTAGTAAAAAACCAGACAGATTCCATGGCAGGGCTCTGCCTTACAGACTGGTAATGTGGACTGATTATCTATATAATACTCTGCTTCCAAGTCTGCCCAATAACTTTCTTGCTATGTTTTTTGTTGTTGTTCTTTGATCAGTACACTCAATCAACCAACAAGTTTTTATGGGTCTAACAAATGAAGAACAAGAGAAATAGGAGTTAATTTTGTTGGAGAAAACATATGAAACAGCTAAAGAATAAGATAAGACCAATGATGATGTGTTAAGGATAGCTGCTTGAAACTGCTCCCATAGCAGCTGTTAAGGGTGGCTTTAAGGAAGAGCTGTGCTGGCAACAGCAGGAAGCACTCAAAGATTAGAGAGAGTCCCACAATGGCCCTTGGTCCCACCTAATAGAAATAAGCCTTTGCTATAAGCTTCTCTGATATGGATGGCTGTCTGTCCTCTTAAACACAATAAACATGTAGAAACACCCATAAGACTGGTTCAACTTTCTTCTGATGACAGAGTCTACTAAGAGGAAAAAGTTTCCTTAGACACTAAAAACACAATTTAAAACCAGCCTCCAGATTTACTGCTATGTAAAAGTCAGAGGAAAATGCATAACACTGTTTTGCTCTAGTAGCAATGGTGAAAATGAACCAAACAGGGACATTTTCTTTCTTTTCTTTTTCCTCTTCTTTTCTTTTCTTTTTTCTTCTCTTTCTTCCTTTTAAATTCTCCAGGATATTTTTCTGTTGATTTGTAGAGAGAGTGGAAGAGAGAGGGAAAGACAGAGAGAAATATCGATGTGAGAGAAACACATCGATTGGTTGCCTCCTACACACCCCTGACCAGGGCCAGGGCCTGGGAGGAGCCTGCAAACAAGGTACATGCCCGTGACCAGAATCAAATCCGGGACCCTTAAATCTGCAGGCAGACGCTCTGTCCACTGAGCCAAACCAGCTAGGGCAACATTTTCATTTTTAAGGTAATGAACCAACCTCTAACTTAAGGAGGACCAAAGTTTCTATCCAAACCTGCTAAGAAGTTGCCAAAATTCAGTTATAAAAAATTTCACATTATAATTATAACAAATTTTAAATATAACACATAACAAAATTCAATTATAACATACTCCTGCTCAAGAACTTAGAACAATTTCCTGCTGCCTATTATATTAAGCCCCAAACTCCACAGGCCAGTATTCCGAGACCCTTCATCAACTAGCCTTATCTAATCACCATTATGAGGTACTTGTCTTCTCATTGCTCCATTCTAGAAGTATCCCCCTAATTACCCTGAATTCACTAGCTTCTTGCAAGAAGCATAAGGTGCCTCCTTAAACACAATACTTTTGAGGAGAAAGATTTAGGAGGTCTTCTCTCTCCCTCAATAAACACCTCAACCGATGTCAGCATCATGGGGGACATCCCTGTGCTTTGTGCTTGCTTTCCCCAAAACAGAAGTTCACTACACCCAA